GGACTTTTGCCAGAGTCTGCTACAAGAGCACCTTCAGCCCTCCTCATCAGCAAGCCTCGAGAGACGACAGCAACAACATCCAAGTCTATGGAGCCTTGGTGTGCAAACCCAGTCTGCTCGAGAAGGATCAGATTCAGAATTGAGTAGTCTGCTGGGGCAGGACGGAGGAATCGTAGACCAAGAAGCAAGAATCTTCAAGTTGCTAGAAGACCTTCGTTTGCACAGGCAGGCAGAGAGACGGCTAGAGGAGACAGAGCGAGAGGATCCATCATTTCGGGTAGCTAACCGAGAAGGAACGAGAGGCGAACAAGAGGTTCAGAATAGGGAGGAAAGAAATGAGCAGGACGCAGATGATCTGGCTCTATTTGCTGAGGCTTGGCTGCTTCCAGCCCGGAGCTCAAAGAATACGGACATGACACGTTCTGCAGACAGAGAGGTTCACAGCTTGGAGGATAGGAATAAACTCTTCAACAGGAGACTGTCCGATCTGTTTGGGGGCCATTTTCACAAACCACCAGCTTCCCGTTCCAAGGTTGCCGAGTGGCTCATCTCACCAGACATCGCTGCTCTCCAAAATCTGATGAGGGAGGAGCAGGACAGGGAGGAAAATATGCAGCAAACTGATCATTATGTTGAAGAGAAAGAGCTGGAAGAAAGACAAAAGACTGAGGAGGAAAATAAAAAATATCTAACAACTGGTTCAACAGATTTCGTCTTCGAAGGGGCTGCAGGTAAGTTTGGGTTGGGTGAAGCTGATGCAGCTTGGCCAAACAAAAGAAAGATTGTCAGGAAGCCTAAGCGAGCTGATACATGGCGGGAGTTACTGAAAGCAGTCGAGGATGGCGAGGCTTTTGATTATAATCACGAAAAAATCCTTGAGGCAAAGGAGGCTCTGGAAGACAAACTCGGAAGTGATGTAATGGAACTATGGTCGAAGGGTGATGAAGGTACAGAGAAGCAGCCTCACGGTAGGTTGACATAGAGTGGCATATTCGCATATTTTTTCCTTAAAATGTCTCATTATTATAAAGATCAATCTGCCAAAGCCGACCCTTATTTTCAGTTGTGTGTAAATGCTGAGTCGACTTCTCTTCACCCCATTTGCATCACTCCCAACTCGTCAAATAGGATACTAGTTTGGGAAGTTGATCAGTTGATGTGTCAATGTCAATTGCGAACGCACGGTTGCCAATAGGTACCAAGTGCCCCACAAAATCAGGTGACATGGAAGGGTCATATTTATCAGGTGACACTTTATAGCTAAGGTCTCCCGGTCTTTTCTGCCCGCACCGTCTTGGTTTTAATATCGCATTGGCCACCGACAAGAGAGTGAGGCATGTCGAAGTGAAGTTTATCCCATAAGCACTCCTCTCAATTTCGCATGTTTACACAATCGTTTACGTTTCCAGATTAGAAAAAATACACAGAACTAGTATTCCTCTAAGTATTATCATGACGCGACGACTGTCCTCAAAGAAATAAGGGCACAGGGTCTGGCCATGGAGAGAAAAACTTTGCCGAAAGGTACTTCCTACGAAACTACGGTAATTCTTGCATAAGTACTTAGTCACTCTTGGTCGTTTAAGCCGATTTAGAGACTGATAGTTAGATTTTTCCACGATTTTATGAGTAGGCCTCACAATTTTACTCAATCTAGATTGGACTTTTATCTCAAAATATGTTCTCAGTCTCAACCTCGCCTACATCTCGATACCAACCCTAATGGGATACTAGCCTAGGTTGTGCTAATTTTAGCGCCACGTTAACAATGAGCTACGAAACCACAGATTCCAATGGTTTGCAAGGCACACATCACACTTTATAATGGGATTGTTGATGAGGCAAACCAATATATTCCGTTACAGTCGACGACGTTATTTATTTTTAATGTGAGTAGGCTTCGAAACTAATATCAGGTGTTAATTACATAGATTGCTAACGGTGACTTAAAGAGTCAAATTTACCATATTTCAATTAAATATATGAAGACCAAAATGTTATGGCCTCTGTTATGGTCGCAGTCTCCTTTCGATTTATAGAAGTGGGTTGACCTCATTGTCGCAACTTGGTCTTGCTGTCAGGGAGACTATGTAGAGCGCACCTTGTCCGAAGTCGTCTGCCATAATAGTTGTCTTGTTTCCCAGCATCCGACAGTGGACTTGATACATTCTCAAACGTTTCGCCGGCATCATCAGTGAGTTTTGCCA